GGATATTGTGATATGATTAATTTGGAATTCATTATAGGTCAATTTTTTTTAATACCATAGATATGTATATAATATGTCTTATACCTAAAAGGACATACCGTCTCCGCTCAGAATCGTTTTTCTTATACAATGATATTATATCATTGAATTCAAATTTAATACCATCCATTATACAATGACCCACTTGTAACCTACTATACAGCAGAGCGACACCCACTTGCCCACCTTTTTATTTATATTTTTGTGTCTGTCATCACGTTTTGGGACAGTAAAAGTGCTTCGATTTTCTTCAATAGTACCTTTTCTGATAGGAAAGTGAATCTAGTTGGTACTTTGGGGGGTCAAAAGTAAACATTTTCCAGTAGTTTTCACAAGCGCCGAAAAAAACAACATAAAAATTAAGGAAAAACGGGAATTTTTACGCAAAATCGATTTTCCAAAAAATCGAATTTGGTTTTTGGTGTAACTTTAAAACAAATGACCGTAGATACATGAAATTTTCACTGGTTGTTTATATTTGCATTTTCTATACACGATAACATTTTCAAAATATTTTGATTTATTTTGAACTGTTTAGGGACATTTTCATTTTTCATTTTTTTTTAGTTTTTTTTCTAGAAATATCAATAAAATTTTATTTGTTGGTTGCGAAAGCTTGAAAATTTAATAGAAGGCTCCTAATATGTTTTTTCAAAGGCAGATGAAAAATATTAAAAATCCTTAGTCACAATTTTTTTTTATAAGCATTTAAAGTTCAAAAATTGACAAAATATGGAAAAATCACGAAAATTAGCAAATTATTTTGAGTTAAGAATTCGTAAAAATTTTTCTTTTTAAATCTAAGATTTGAAAATGAAACACAAGATTCCTTATAAGATTATCTACCTTTATCAATAAAAAAATCTCTACCGGACAGTCAAGTTAAATTTTTATGAGCGTTTGAAATTAAAATTTTTACAACATTGGATATTCACTCGATTTCTCATGTAGCGATTTCCTTATTTTGTTGTAATTCAAAAACGAACAACTATAGATATATGAAACTGTGGGTTTAAATTAGCATTTTCTATACACCATACAATTTTGAAAATATTTTGACTCTTTTTGAGCTGTGTAGGGACATTTTCAGTTTTCAATTTTTTTAGTTTTTTTTTTTTATAATTGTGAATAAAATTTTATTTGGTGGGCCAAAAAGTCCAAAAATTGAATACAAGCTTTCTTATATATTGTTACAATATCAGTTGAAAAATTTTAAAAATACATAAGCACGATTTTTTTTTATAAGCATTTAAAGTTGGAATTTTGACAAAATTTATCAAAATCTCGAAAATAATCAATCGTTGGAATTAAAAAATTATAAAATGTTCAGTTTTTATAACTAAGAGTTGAAAATTTAAAACAAAGATTCTCTTAAATAATTCATACTGTAACCAAAAAATCTAAAAAATATATAAACACACTTATTTTTTACAGACATTTTAATTTCAAATTTGGACGAAATTACATATTAAAAACCTAGAATAACTATTTTAGTTATTTTGTTGTGATTGAATAATATTATTCGTGGGTACTTGAAACTTCTAAAGAGTACTATTATATATCTATGATAGTATCACGGTTTTTGTTGATGTATAACGCGTTATAAGTATCTAATAGATATTGTGATATGATTAATTTGGAATTTATTATAGGTACCTATTATAGGTCAATTTTTTGTTTAATACCATAGATATGTATATAATATGCCTTATACATAGGCTGACATACCATCACCGCTCAGAATCGTTTTTCTTATACAATGATATTATATCATTGAATTCAAATTTAATACCATCCATTATACAGTGACCCACTTGTAACCTACTGTACAGCAGAGCGATACCCACTTGCCCACCTTTTTTTAGATTAAAGCTGTAGTTTCATTACAAAGACCATAGCTGGCCTATCATCTGTCCCACTATCATAGAAATGGTCAAAGTCCAGGTATACTATCAAAAGGTTACATCCGAAAAATAATAAATTAGCTAGGTAGGTATATGTGCATTGTGCATGTATAATAATAATATACCTACCTAACTAAAATGTAAAATGTGGAATAGGAATTATAGGAGGTACATAGTAATATTATAGTACCTAAATTATTTTAATATCGTGTGCAGAGCGAAAGTCGCAATTTATATTTTAAATGCCATGAGGGGTCTTTTATTATTGTAATTGGTTGACCGAAATCGACACGGGCGACCGATTCGCAATTATTATTATAGTTACTGTCAACTACTAACTAGTGAATATTAGACTTATTATACGGCGGTTCTCATAATATTATATTATATCCATCCTGTGATGATATTCGTTTATCACTATCTGGGACATCACAATAATCTTTCGTAGTCGACTAGGTATCGTACAGACGTACAGTTTTGCTATAATTTTCTAATAATAATTTATTATAATAATATATTTTTGTGTAGTAAATACGTCTGTTGTAGCGGTATAGTGAGAGTGTCTGGCGCTCGAATAATTTTACATCTCTATAGTCTATAATATGCTAATATATAATATTACATGTAATTCATATTCTATAATTATTATGTTTTTACTTTTTAGCTTTTATGGTCCATTTGCTTTCATCTACCGACATGCAATAATATTAAATACCTAAGTAATATTTATTGCGTGGCTACATGATATCGTCGAATCATGTTTCGTCTTCGACCGTCGTTTATATTATATTAATATAATGATGGTCAAATGGTTGTATACTATAGTATGGTACAACTATGGTACCTATATCACTTGTATACAGTCATATTGCAGATGTTTGTATTGTATTCTCGTTACTCGGTCGAAGCCTTTGGAATACTTTTGATTAACTTATAATTATGGCTGGTGAATTTTTTGAGAGAAAACTGACGCATCCAAGTACGTCTCAGAGATTTTTGAGGAATGCAAAAATAATTTATCAATGACAGTACCCCCCCCCCAAAAAAAAAAAAAAAAGATTCATCGTGAAATGTTAACTTACACATTCGAAAATTATTATCATTTAAACAATTTTAAGATTTACGAATTTTTAATAATTAACAAGCATTCTACTTTTAATACCTATACAAATAAAAACAAATAGTTAGGTATCTCGTATCTATACGACTGTAAGTACATATTATAATGCAAGGACTAAAGAGATTATTAAAAAACTCTAAATTATATATGATTTAGGTAACAGGAATAAATTCAGAAGATACCTATCGGCTATCATTTAAATTAATACTAGGTACCTATAGGTACTAAAATATCTAAAATACCACGGTTATCTACAGATAATTATCTGTAGATAACCGTGTAAAATACTTAATATTTTGTTCAAGAAATACATCCATAATTAAAGGAGAATAGAAATTTGAAAAAAATTATGACTTTTAGCTTAAATGCGTGTTTAAACCCATCAAAGTTTTAATATTTTTGATGGAGAAACATCAATCAATAAAGAATAAAAATTTTTAAAAAATGTAATGTGTGAATCCTACGCCAGCTCTCCTTTATATAGCCATATAGTATATTATATAGGTCATTTTTGATGATTATCGCAATATTACCATCACCATAACCGCATACTATAGGTAGTATATTTTATAATCAATGATATAATATTATCATATAAGTAGAAGAAAATATGTGAGCCTGATGAGGAGTTCTAAAATTCTAATTTTGTTCAGTTCCCATGATTGTATCTTTTGTATTTAATTTTCGTGTAATCTACATAATATTTATTACATTAAAAAAACTGTTTATGAGATAAAAAAGAATGATACACTTTTTATTTATATTATGTACATGCGCGATAAGCGTATGTTGTTGTACCTACGTCTTGTTGAAACAAGCAACAACACGTCTTAAACCTTAAAAAATACGTAATTTAAAAATAATAGCTACTAGCTAGTAGGAACCTAATATGAAATTACACGATAATCCGTTAAAATGTGTTTAAATAGAAAATTCAAGTTTTCTTTTCAATTCATTGGGGCGAATAACTCCAATGGTATAAGATGGAAAACCCTTAAATTGTCCAATAATTACTTTTATTTCTAGTTTCTATATAGATAAATATTATACATTATAATGCTTGAATTTAACATACATTTTTTTAGTCTAAAACTTTTATTAACAATAATATTATGTATTATAAATAGTATTTTCAGTAAGTTCACTCTTTAGTGTTTAGTCAATTTTACTTTATACACGTCTCGTTGTTGAAATGCCGAATGTATTTTTCTGTAGAATCAGAAACATTGTATGTAATTAGTAATTTTATTACAAAAACTTGTGTCTGACGAAACAAAGCGAGTAGTTGCATACTTTGCAGCCAAAATAACTAAATATATTATTTTATAAACTTAATTTATTTTTCAAAAAACAGTCTTAGAAATGGATATTATATTAAAGTTATATCCTTAATAGACAAGTTTAAATGAAATAAATATTTTTTTTATAAATATTTACCAACAAATAGTATGTTTTATAGACATTCATTTTGGCAATTTTATTACTACACTTTTATTTTTATTTTTTAGAGGCAAAGGCCCCAATTTGTTTGTTTGCAGGTACGCCCTGTAAATACTAAATAATAATATGAAGTCTGTTCACACCTCTCGTTAGAGGTCACTGGACAAAGCAACTCGGGGATATAGGAGCTGCAAAAAAAACGAAAAAACGTTTTACCCAACAAAAACATTGGTGCTAAGATTTTCCGAAAATTATTTCTGAAAATGAACAGCGGACAGGCCTGGCGGATGTGGCCATATGTCTCGCAACATTTATCGGCAAAACAATGGCTTACAGTTATATTTACGTATCGCGCGATTACGCGACAAGGACCTACGTCAACGCGGACGTCAGCTACTCAGCTGCACCGCCAAGCAGTGGAACAAAGGTGGCCGTCATCCGCGGTAACGCTGCTGCTGCGCAGTAAGCAGTGGCCAATGGGTCTTATTATACTCTTATTAGTTATTATCGTCGCAGTTTCCACAGCCATCAGCTGAGGTGGCCCGCGCAGGTACAGCAATCGCGGCGCCTACAACGCTAACGAGTTCGAGCTGACGGACCGCCGTCGAGGGCCGTTTCAGGTCAGGACCGGTGGTCACCCATCGGTGGTTCGTAGGCCGAACTAAGTACTCACGCTCGGCCACAGGGGCCGTCCACAGCCGACAGCCGTCCACCACCGGGGCTGAACGGTTGGTACGGCCGTCGGTCAGCTGACGCCCGCGCCCCGCACTGTCATGCACAACGAAAACAACAAACCCCGCGCCCCGCCAGCCAGAAGCTACGACGTATATTGTCATTGTTATTTGTTACCACTGTTACTGTAGTCCGTCTACAACGTTTGAACCGCTGCTGTTCGTTTCCCGTTTCTCCGTAATTCGTCAGTCGATACAGACCGTTCCCGTTTGTCAGGTCGTCTATCGTTCGTTAAATCGTATCGTTCCGCGGTACACAATGAAGTTCCAGTACAAAGAAGACAACGTTTTCGAGAAAAGGAAGACTGAGGGCGAGAAAATCCGGAAGAAGTATCCTGACAGGGTCCCGGTAAGACGGAGCTCGACGATGACGACGACATCGATGGCGGTTCGGAGTTCGTGAAACGTCCCGAACGTTTTTTACCTTTTCGTTTTTTTCCTTTCCCCGAAGTGTTGTTGGCCATTGTCCACGACGTGACTTGTTTATTTATACCGAGGCAAAGGTCAATGTTAGATTTCTCCTGTTTTATTCCTCCGCCGCCGCCTTTGTTGTTGTTGTTGTTGTCGCTACTGCTGTTGTTGTTTGTTGTCGTCGTCTTATTCTTTTATTACGTTTTAATTTTATTTTACAGGTGATCGTTGAGAAGGCACCTAAATCGCGTATCGGCGAGCTCGACAAGAAAAAGTACCTGGTACCCTCCGACCTGACGGTCGGCCAGTTCTATTTCCTCATCAGAAAGCGCGTCCACTTACGTCCCGAAGACGCCCTGTTCTTTTTCGTCAACAACGTCATTCCACCAACCAGTGCCACAATGGGATCATTGTATAATGTGAGTGTTTCCAACTTTCCAAGGTCAATACTTAAATGCCATTTATTCATCCAAATCGTTTTTTTTTTTGTTTTTATTTTCTGCAGGATCACCGCGAAGAAGATTACTTCTTGTACATTGCGTACAGCGATGAAAATGTCTATGGACGAGTGTAACATACTTGAGAAATGTCGGTTGGTTGTTCTTTCATTGTTCATTTCAAAATGCACTCCTTGAATACATAATGACCTAAAAAAAAGTTATAAAATGTATTAAAAATTGGTTAATATAATATTATTATATTATATTATATCGAAAAAAAAAATAATAATAATAACCATATTATTATTTATTATGTTTATAATATAAGCTTCTCATACATGGTGGTATAAAAACTATTTTATATTGCAAGTATGACTTGTTTATGTACTGTTAGATACTATGTATATTATAATTTTGCTAAAATATTAACCTTTGTTTGATTTCTTATTATTTTTATTAAGCTTACTATGACTTGTTTATAAGATATTTATAGCTAAATGTGTTGGTGTGCTAATTCTGTGTGTAAAAATATTTCAAATTATTTTACCATTTCAGAAATGATTAGCATTACAAACATTTGGTCACTCATCCTGTATATACATATAATTATTTTAAATAAATTCTTTATTATATATTAGTAATTACAATTGTGTATGTATTTATTTAACCACTCGTATAGTTTAAAAAAAAAAACTTTATAAACTAGTAAAAATATATTTTTTATGACTGTAATTATATTGAATACATCTTTAATTTTTAAGGTTAGCTATTAGTTATTATTTGCCCTTAAAAATGATGGTACCTATTTAATAGGAGCAAATTAAATCATAAAAGCAGATAAATTTAAACGGGTTTAATAATCTATTAGTCATTTGGTGTTAATCAACTAAGATACTATTAGTTTTTGTGATTTTGTTGCTTAGATTACATTTATATCTTATGCGTTTAAGTCTTGAATATTAATTATACAATTCACCCAATGGCCTAAATTTCCGCGGGTTAACTAATAATAAAAAAAAAAAAAATTATAAAATAGAAAATTAATCAGTTATAATTTTAGACTAAGTAAAATTGTTAAATTTTGTTTCTGAATACCACTTTATGAGTAATTTTTATTCTTTTTAATGTTATCAGTTGACATACAGACGGATAATGACCTCTCACCATATGAGTTTCTAGTTCTATATGAATATGATTATAAATGTCAAGACATTCCAAAGTGGATGAACCTTATATCATAATATTTGGCAATATAAACTAACAATACTATAAAGTTAATTTTGTAAGAAAAAAAAAAATTGAAAGTAGGAAAGTGTTCCAAAAACAATTGTATTTTCAATTGAAAAATGTCAAGGTCACAATTTGTGATGATGAAAGATATATTATTTATAATGATTTCATTGTTTTTAAAATTTTTCTTTATGACGATAGAGATCATAGTAGTGAATAGTGATTACTGATTAATGTTTATGTAATTATTATGTGGACGTATTTGATATTTTGATACTTTGGTAGGTATGTCAGTAATCAGTTTATCAATATGAAACCAGACGGATACAAGGCTAAAGGGCCTGGTTAGTGGTGGACATAACTCAATTAATGTGGTCCGTTATATAAGTATAAAAATAATAAATAACAAATTGTTAAGCAAAATAATTTTATGCTGTTAATTGTTATTGATTTGACAATAAGTTATGTCAAATCACCTGTCTCAGTGTCTCGCACTCACACCTGTATAAAATATGTGTAAAATAAGTGTTCATATTTGATATTTCATAATGTTCATATGCACTTATGCGTAATGCGTATCGACTATCGACGTATATTTTGTGTGTAATTATTTTTTTTATGTTCGACCGTCGTGTATTAAAAAAAGGGAAATTTAAAGTCGTAGTAGTTACATCGTTCGCGGGTTTTTCTTCCACGGCATTTCGGTCTCTTCCATGCTCACGCTTCACGTTATCATTATTGGTTAATGTTTTGTTGACTGCCGATCACACACTGCTGATCGTGTGTGGATCCGTTCATTACTTTTTTTCCGTCACTGGCACTAAAAAGGTAAATTAAACTTTTTTTATCCTACTCAATCTAAGTTATTCCGCACAACTAACCCTCGTTGTCGTGGATTTCTAATTCCATTTTTCACGTTTGTTTTGTAATTGCTTTCAGGACCAACCATGGGTCAAAGTGTAGTATTTAGGAGGCGACTGTCTTACAACACCAAAAGTAACAGGAGGCATATGTGAGTAACATTATCGATCGGTTCGAGAACTTGTTTCGTTTTGATTTTTTTTTTGTTTTATTTCGTGTACGTCATATTTAATATCATGTATGTTTCAGGGTACGTACTCCTGGTGGACGGTTAGTATATCAATACTTAAAGAAGCCAAAGCGTGTACCCAAGTGCGGTAACTGTAAAATCAAGTTACATGGTATCAAGCCTGCTAGGGCCATTGAGAAGAGTCGTATGTGCAAGCGCAAGAAGACAGTTAAACGAGCATACGGAGGAGTTTTATGTCATAGCTGTGTCCGTGAAAAGTATGTATAGTGTCAAGTTAAAACATTTCGATTTATTTCTTATTCATTATTAAGTTGGGTTATCAATTGATTTGAATAGCAGGTTCGATTTTAATTTGGATAGTAGGTGATCTTGCATTAGATAACCACATAAATCATAGTTTAAAACAATGGTCAGGCACATATTTACCGTTAATTAAGTTATAAGTTATAGCTACTTTGATCTTTATTCATATTTAAGCACTTACTTTTTTGAAAATAAAATATTTTTCTTAGGTTTAAAAACCAATACTTTATTGTAACATTAAAAAAGTGTTCGTATAAGATGCTGTTATGATTAAATAAGTGGTGCAATCATATTAAACATTTTTACCTATACTTTAGGTAATCTAGTTCAAATAATATAATAGAAAACCAGTTAAGTAGCATTCGGTATGTTATTTATTGATTATTTCTTAATCCAGGATTTAATATTGAAATTATGTTTAACCCTAATTTGTTATAACTTGACTTACATAATTTTTAAATCTTTGATATCCATTCAAATTGGTTCAAATGGCAGAGTAAAATAAATCCATCCCAATTCTTAATCATCCTTATAGTTGTCTATAGCAGGGGTCTCCAACCTTTTTTTTACGGCGGGCCAAAAATGAGATACGCTTTGGCATTGCGGGCCAACATTTTTAGAGGAATAGATTGGTTAAGAAATTGAAGAATAGATAAGATTTATTTAGAAAAATTAATGCTTGTTCATATACTTTTTTTTTATTTTACAATGAGTTTTTGTATTATTATTTAGTGTTAGTAATTAGTATAATATAGTTTTGAATTACTATTATAAGCTGTTATGAAGAACCAAAATAAAAAACTACTAATTCAATAAATTAAAAACAATGAAAACATTAATTAGGTTGGCGGACCAGTGAAAAATCCTTGGGCCGTGGGTTGGAGACCCGTGGTTTATAGTATTGATCTATAGTATGTTGACGTTTCTCAGTTTTAATTTTATTTTATCAAAATGTATCGAAATACATATTTTTAATGTGTATGCTTACTTCTGCGGTTTATGAATTTATCTTTCTATTTAGGCATTTTTTTTTTTTTTTTTTTGTTAGTATTCTGTAGCTATGTTTTGTTTTTATTTTAAATATAAATATGAATTTTGTGCCTAATAATAATAATTAAAAATTTATATTTATATTAATGAAAGGATGTCAGCGCAATATTATTTTGTTTTCTCTTTCTAACCCATTCATTCACAAAAAATTGTTTTTCATGAATGCGGTTTGTCTGTTGCATGTGGGCCAGAGAGAGAAAACATACAGTGCACTAATTAAGGGAGTAAAGAAGGTTGCATCATAAAAGCATTAGTGATTTAATCGATACAAACTCCCTAAAGTAATTACAGCATTGAACACTCTTAGAACTAATAAGTTTTAATCTAAGGCTACATGTTGCTGTACATTAATTATTAAATCTGTCAAATTGTAATGTTATGTAGGAAATTAATTCTCTATAGTTTAATTTGTTAGTTAAACTCATAGATATATAGAACAACTAGATAGCCAACTTCTACTATACAACAGCCGTGCAAATGTTTTGAGGTTGTGTCGCCATTTGTCTAAACGGCAATGTTTATATTTTATCATATTTAAAATAAATATATATTGATCATTGTTATCATAATATAAAAGTGTAAACATAGTCGTTTAGGCATAGAGCGGACGGAATCAATATCAAATTATAGTCTGCTATCTAGTTGTTCTATATGGCTATGGTTATACTACATTTCATAAATGAGTTCTGAGTATAATAAATTAAAAAGCTCATTGTAATTTTAACCATTTTTGTAGTACTGTACATTTCATTAATTTTATATTGAAAATAGTATTAGCATTTCTAATTATATTTTATTTTTATAATATTTCACAACATATATATTAACCACTTAAGTAATAATTATGTTTAACTGTAGCCATAAGCAAAGAATGGCTCTTCTCGTATTTTATATTTGGGAGCAAAGTTATTGGTGACTGTCCTATTACACCACTAGAATAATTTTTTGTATACACAACATTAATTTTAAAATGAATTTATTTTTTGTGTGTGTGCTTTATATAATAATAAATGACCAATTATATATTGATATTTATACTGTTAGCCGTTAGGTACCATTCATGTAGTATTCATATAGTATTTAAATTTGTTTTGTGACCATAGGTTGGGAAACACATATTATAGGATGATTTAATGGTATTTTTAATGTTTAATTTTTTTATTTTGCAGGATCCTCAGAGCGTTTTTGGTTGAAGAACAGAAAATTGTTGTTAAAGTTTTACGATCCCAGAAGAGTTCAACTAAAAACAAGTTGAAAACTAAATGAGTAGTTTAACTTAATCGATTTTCAAAATAAATGTTAATTTTCTAACAGACAATATTTTAATTTTCATCTATCTTCCTATTTTTCCCTTTGCACACTATTTTACTATTATAATATGCCTTTGAGCATAAACTAAGTGGACATTCAAAAAATAAAGGTTATATGGGCATAGTTGACAAACGATATATTTAACTAAAAAGTTTAAAATTAATATGGAATACAATTTTACATTCATTCAGTAAAAGAAAGTTAATTTATTGGTTTTAATTACCTCCTAGGTCATGTATAGACGATAGACGACAGTGATTTGCAACAAATTTTTAAACATTTAAATATTTTTAAATATACATCTTAATATTCCTATTAATTGCTCACTAGTTGTAGTACCTTAGGCATATTACATGAATGGCCATTCTTATAATGTCCTGTTAAAGTTAACCAGCCGAATTCTGCCGATAATAAAATCTGTTATCAGTCGATTAGCTTTAACCGACACTTTACCGGACATTGTAAGAACGGCCCTAGGTCGACTAAATATTAATTCAAGGAATTTGATTAAATTATTGTTGTGTACAGTGTGATTAATAATTATAAAAAAAAAATTACTTTTCATCTACAGTTATCTACCTAACATATTGTATTAACTTGATTTTAATTTAATGTTTAATTACAATGGACCTAACCTTAAGTTCTTAAGTTATTAGACACTTAATTAACTAGTAAGTTGAGTGTAGGTAATCAAGATTATTTATCTGGTTCCATTTAGCTTAAAATATAAAAGTTGTTACATTTATTAGTAAAAGTCACAACTCTTAGGCCCGGTTTTTCATTCATCCAGTTATTCGCCAGATACGTATCCGTCGGATAAACTTATCTGGCGGATAATCTTTCAAATAAAGTGATTCCGGTTTTTCAATGTAATTTTATTCTCCAGATAGCTATCTGACAGATAAAGTTGTCGGTAGGAAAATTGTACTAACAGAAGGTAGTTACTATTGATTATGGAACAAGTTACACATACCTATTTGATTATGATTGGTCAATGATGGAATTGATAAGAAATCGTTCTGTGATATCAGCAGAAATCATAAACACTTTGTAGTTTGTATATTATGATCAAGGTAATTATAATTACGATCTAATAATTATTATGATCTATAACTGCGATATTTATAAGTGTTGCGTGTTGACTGTTCAACTGTTTACTCTCAGTATATTCTCTATTAAACATGTCTCATAAAACCATATCGAAAAAACAAAGATCAACCAATTTCACATTTTATGAAAAAGAACTTTTATTGAAACATGCTTTACAAAATCGGCACGTATTAGAAAATAAAGAGTCAAATGCAGTGACATGGAAGGACAAACAGAAATGTTGGCTGAAAATTACTGAACTATATAATTCAGAAACAACAGGCTGTGTAAGAATAATTGTATTATTATTTTTTGTATGCATAAAATAGTATTGTTTTATTTGTTATAGCCAAGAGATGCTTCATGTTTGCGATCAAAATATGAATGTGTCAAAAAACTTTTAAGGGGAACTAAAAGGGATCTATTCAAAACAGGGGGTGGTCCCTTTAAAGAACCTCATATAGTTTCAAGTGATTCAGAAAAAACCTTGTACACAATTTTACAACCAACAATTGAAGGACTACCTAGTCCATTTGATAGTGACCATCGTAAGTAGTATAGCATAAACAAATTTGATAAAATGTAGTTATTAATTTAATTATTCTCATTTTCTAATATACAGTAAATTTAATCAATCAAAAATTAATGAAAATAAACTATTTAAAACTTGTAACATTCTAGCTGATTTTGAAACCACTCATATTTCACAACTAGAACCTTCCAAACAAAATGAAGGCATGGTGACACAAAATAAAGAAAATGTGAACGATAATTTAGAATTTTCAATTGGCGAGGAATGTCAATCTACATATGCTTATGATGGTATAGTATAATATTTTAATTAATAATCCATAATCCATAATAATGACAAAATATGAATACAAATAAATTATAAGAGCCTTGTTTGGTTAAAAAGTTAAGTATGTAGGACTCTATGTATGTTTCAAATTAAAGTGTTGAAGTTTGTGATACTTTTTAGGACTTTGATATATTATAGTGGTGTAACCTAACCGACTCTTTTTTAAAAATTAACAACGTGTACTGTAGCATTTTTTCAAACCAAATTAAAATGAAATGATTGCATTTATTTAATATTAGTGAATGTTATATATTTTCTGAAATATTTAATTTGTTTTATAGAAATGTTGGGTTTAGAGGACACACTTAATACAATTTATGAAACACCAGAAAAATCTATACAAAATATAAAAGACAACAATCAAATAATAGATGACAATTTGATACATCAACAGCCAAGTACATCATGGACTCCGTTAGCATCAACAAAACTGTTGAGATCATCAGGAAAAAATGATAAATTATCAAGTGAGTTATTTCATATAAATATTATTAAAATATTAATACTATTGGTATCTAAAATATATTTCTATATCTAGCCAAATTTAAAAAAAAGAATCACTGTCAAATATCAGTCAGTGAGAAGTTTTCAATTTTAGCTGAAAAAAAGTTAGAATTGGTAGATTTGCAAATTTCTTTTTTAAAAGAGGAACATGAAGAAACAATGATTTTTTTGAAAAGGAAACATGAACTTGAACTTGCATCGTTAGAACTAGAAATTGCTAATAAAAAACATAAGCTGTGAATAGAATATTGTCTATTTGTCTTGGCTATTTTACCTACTCTGTTTTATTATTACCATTATATATTTATTAAATTTATTTTTTTTGTAAACTTTGTTAAAATTAATACTAATCAAGAGTTGTTATAAGTTGCATATTTATTTTATCTAAGTCATTCTTAAATTAATTATAATCAAAAGAATTGTTATAAGTTACATTTTTATTTTATTTTAGTTACATTTTTATTTTATTTTAGTCATTGTTATTAACTACCTATGTATTATATTGCTAATTTCAACAAAAAATAAAAGGCTGATCATTAATAAAAAAGGTTTTTTTTAAGTTTTTTAAAAAACTACAGCGATTATCCTCTTATAAATAATAATAAACCATTTTAGATTAATTATAGACTTATTTTATTACAAAATTATTAATAATTTATACATATTACATAGTATGGAGTTATCACTGTATTTATAATTTACAATAGGGTTAATTTAAAAATGGAAAATATTCTTCTGTTAATTGTTTCCTTGCATTTCCTACTTCTGGTTCATGGTCTTCTCTTAAACTAAATTCTTCATTTATCGGTAAATCCATATTAAATAGTTCAGGTGGCTCTAAATCATTATTATCACAAGCCAAGTTGTGTAAGACACAACAAGCAACTATCACAGCTTGGGTGGTTTCTAGTTTTAAGCGTGATCCAAAAGACAGCACAGGAAATCTTCGCTTTAGCACTCCATATGATCTTTCCACTGGATTCCTAGTCCTAATAATGGATTCATTATACAACTCTTCAATGTCATTACTAGGATTCAAGTAGGGGGTGACAACATATTGTGTATTTGCATATCCACTGTCAGCCACAATTAAACTGTTTTTCCAATAACCACTGACCAACTTATTATAAATACGCGATTTCTTGAAAATAGTTTGATCGTGACAGGACCCTGGCCAACGCGCAACTACATCCATTATCTTTAAACCAGGGCATGCAATTGTTTGAACATTTAAGGAAAAGTATCCTTTACGGTTTCTAAAATATTCTGCATCAGGACCACCTATTGTTTAAAATTATATTATAATTTTGCTGTTACATATTATTTTAACAGACTTACCAGGGCTCTGAATTTTAATATGAGTGCAATCAATTGCACCGATAGTTCTCGGGAATCTTGCAATTTGATAGAAACGGAGTTGTAAATCTCGTATTTCACTTTCGGTCTCTGGCATACGTATGAATATTGGTCGAAGTTTTGCTATGGCCACACTAACGTCGCGTACTATCAAACAAGCTGTGGTCTTACTAACGCCAATAAAATCACCAGCCGTTATTAGGAAATTTCCAGTAGCATAAAACCTCAGAGTCAACAGTAATTTATTTATTGGTGTAACAGCATTATTCCTTGTATATTAAAATATGTAAAAAATAATTGTTAATAAATTTAGTTCGATAAAGTTAATAAATAATTATTTATTAGCTCACCTAGTAGTTTGTGAAGCTATTTCGTCTTCAATATATTCTAATAAATTACGAACAACATTTTTCCCAAGTCTGAATCTCACCCTAAAGTCATGGTCATCCCACGCCAGCATATGATTTATTCTTTCATGTACAGTGTATGAACGACGTTGATAATTCAAATATTGAATTATTTCAAAATCATCATCCTCTTCAAATAAATCCATTTAAATAAAATCGAATGTAGACGAAAATTGTGAAATTGACAACAACACAACGTATTTCATATTTAAATTTTAAAGTAATATGATAAATTATGATAACACACCATATTTATGTTATCAGTTGTTAGTTATCCGTTGGATAAGATTTATTTGATACAAAAAGTAACGGATAACTTATCCGCAACAATATCCATCGGATAAGGCTTATCCCGACATTGAAAAACTGAAATTTATCAATTATTTCTTATCTGTTAGATAACTCGAGTTATCTGACAGATAAATGTGATTGAAAAACCGGACCTTACTGACCACGGATTGAGTTAAATACTTAAATGTCAAATAATAATGGTGAATTAACACTGGTCTATACTCTATATCAGGGGTCTCCTGATATAACTTTTTTATTCAAGGGCCACAAAAAAAATCAAATGCTCTTAGCGGGCCAAAAGTTTATTAATACATATAATTTTTAACTTTATGATAATATAGGTTAACCTATATAAATAATATGTTTACTCTACAATATACTTAAATAAAAATAAATAGGTATAAATATAATATAATATAAATACGTTTTTGAAATAATTTTTTTATCTATATTTACCTATGCGGGCCACGGGCCGGTTAAAACTTGTTTGCGGGCCGTAGTTTGGAGACCCCTGCTCTATATAATAGGTAATAGTATTGAAAAATAAAGAATCGCCGTGGATAGAAACATTACAATAGAAGGATAGATTGCGATGCTACAAAAAAAAAAAAAATAAGTAAAGAACGATTATATTTTTTAATATGTATAGGTACTCAAATAGTAGGTACCTTGTGGAGTTACAGCTCCACTATTTAATCATTATTAATAGTGTCAATTGAGTCATTTAAAAATATGAGAACATACTAGGCATTTTCAGAATTGCGGTTATAAATCGACAATCGTACAATTTTGTGAAAAAATTGCATAATATTGTTTTAAGTTAGAAGTATCTGATTCAGTTTGGTATAGCTTTTATGTTCATACTTATACTATGATATTTAAAGCAAACTATTAAAAAATTAAATTTTGTAAAACATCAAAACGAGAATAACCGAATAACTTCTATTTGGAGACTATTGCCAGAAGAAATCATGGACATATTTGCTACTATTGATAGGAAATTATGTTAACACTTTAAATCTTAGGGCCGTTCTTACAATGTCCGGTAAAGTGTCGGTTAACGCTAACCGACTGATAACAGATTTTATTACCGGCAGAATTCTTCCGGTTAAGTGTCGGTTAACTTTAACCGGACGTCGTAAGAACGGCCCTTAATATTATAAAATACTATAGTAAGATGTGTTAAAATTTTTTCTCTAATAATTGGTAGGTAGATTGTGAAATACTGGATTTGTATGTATATATTCACTATTCAGATATATTCTTCAATTTATTGACAATTATTTTGATTTGAAATGTGATATGTAGATTCTATGGTCAAATTTTTTTTTGCATATTTGAGTAAAACCAGTGCTCGAATTGGGAGGTTCTGCAGGGGGACGGTCACGGAGTTCTACTATTTTAATTTTTTTTTACGTATCCCTACTATTTTTTTTTACTTGGACAGCGGGACGGTACAAACTAATGTCCGAAATAATTTTTATTAAAATTTGGATTTCAATTGATGTCAATATTCGCAATTGAAAGGAAATATAGGTAGCGCACTAGTCAATACTAATGTTAAGGGTAACGGGGAACATGGTCGCCCGTGCTGTCTACACTCCACAGTCTACTTACTACTTTCTAGTTTCTACTTAGTTTACTTAGTCTACTTTCTAGTTTCTATTGAAAGCGGTAGTTGATGCTCACGCTAAATTTATTGTAATAGATATTGGAGATTACCTACGGTTGGTCTAGTGATAGTGGGATTTTCAAAGAATCCTTATTTGGTAAACAATTAATTCCAAATAAATTAGACTTGCCTGCATCCAAAAAAAATTGATCAAAATATTGATGAAGATTTCCCTTTTGTATTTGTTGGCTATGAGGCTTACTCACTTTTACCTAATTTTATGAGACATTTCCTTCGTAGAAATTTAACCAATGAAAAACGTTATGGTATATACAACAAACTATCGACAATCCCATGCGAGAAGAATAGTCGAATGTGCATTTGGTATTATGGTAAAAAGATTTAACGTATTAGAAAATAAAATGCTAATCAGACCTGAAAAAGCTACAAAAATAATTCAGGCGATTTGTGTACTTCATAATTTAATTGTGACTAGAGAAGCTAACTTCCTACACGAATTTTACAAAAACATACCTACATTTGTTTTGAAAAATTAAAGTTAGTTAAAGTTAACGTTGTCTGATTTTGATTCTGAAAAAATATTTGAGTTCAGCAGAAAAATGTCTGTAGATCGTACGAAACATTTTCCGTTTTTAATATTCATTTTAATTATGATTCGAAAAAGTTCATATTTTCAAGTTTTCAATTACAGTTCACAATAACAAAAAATTTAGTTTTTACAAAGTGCTTCGTAGGATCTATAGACATTTATCTGGTGAGTTCGATTTTTTTTTCAGAATCAAAATCGGACAACGTTACCTATAACTTTAATTTTGTCAATACTTTAGGTCTTTTTGGCTGAAATTGACGGCAGTAGAGAAGCCCCTTAATTTAATAATATCATAGTTTTTACACGAAAATGGACATAACACAATGCATGACAAAATAAGATTGGTATCATCACTATCATCACAGTTGTACTAGTTGTGCGCATAGGCGCAACTAGAGGCCAAACACTGGGGGTGCTAAAATTATGTAGAGAACACAATCCCGCGGGGGCTACGCCCCCACACCCCAAAATAACATACTTTGATTTTATTATTACTATAACCATTCCTAAATGCACCATGAACACATAAGGACACTAATATTTAAGTAAATCAACAGTAATATACCTGATGAATACATGAGGTACCTATATTATATTATTTAGGTGATAAAAATAGTACCTGGAAGTGTAAATGGATAAAAAAAATGTGGTCAAGTGGGTACCGCTTTGCTGTCCAATAGTTGTTGAGAATATCGTTGTAATGGATGTGTTATATTTGAATTCAATTTGAAAAATTTTCTCATAAATAGCTATAAATAGTTCATAAAAAGTCAAAAGTGTTTAAAGAATTTACGTTGTATGGAAAATGCTAATATAAATATTTGGTGAACATTTCAAGAGTCTACGGTTATTCGTTTTGGAAATACAACAAAATCCAAAAAATCATTTAATGGGAATTCGATTTACCGCTGAATATCGAATATCATGACAATTATAAGTTCGAACACTCATAAAAAATTCAAGTTTAAGTATACATTTTTTTTATAGGTAGACAAACTTATGTGAAATCTTTTATTAACATTTTAGATTCTGAGCGGAGCGATGAATGTATTGGTTTTACAATGATGTGTGTTTTTATATTTTTATATTTTTATATTTTTGTGTCTGTCATCACGTTTTGGGACAGTAAAAGTGCTTCGATTTTCTTCAATAGTACCTTTTCTGATAGGAAAATGAATCTAGTTGGTACTTTGGGGGGGTCAAAAGTAAACATTTTCCAGTAGTTTTCACAAGCGCCGGGAAAAAACAACATAAAAATTAAGGAAAAACGGGAATTTTTACGCAAAATCGATTTTCCAAAAAATCGAATTTGGTTTTTGGTGTAACTTTAAAACAAATGACCGTAGATACATGAAATTTTCACTGGTTGTTTATATTTGCATTTTCTATACACGATAACATTTTCAAAATATTTTGATTTATTTTGAACTGTTTAGGGACATTTTCATTTTTCATTTTTTTTTAGTTTTTTTTCTAGAAATATCAATAAAATTTTATTTGTTGGTTGCGAAAGCTTGAAAATTTAATAGAAGGCTCCTAATATGTTGTTTTAAAGGCAGATGAAAAATATTAAAAATCCTTAGTCACAATTTTTTTTTATAAGCATTTAAAGTTCAAAAATTTACAAAATATGGAAAAATCACGAAAATTAGCAAATTATTTTGAGTTAAGAATTCGTAAAAATTTTTCTTTTTAAATCTAAGATTTGAAAATGAAACACAAGATTCCTTATAAGATTATCTACCTTTATCAATAAAAAAATCTCTACCGGACATTCAAGTTAAATTTTTATGAGCGTTTGAAATTCAAATTTTTACAACATTGGATATTCACTCGATTACTCATGTAGCGATTTCCTTATTTTGTTGCAATTCAAAAACGAACAACTGTAGATACATGAAAATTTCACTCAATGTTTAAATTAGCATTTTCTATACACCATACAATTTTGAAAATATTTTGACTCTTTTTGAGATGTTTATGGACATTTACAGCTTTCAATTTTTTTTAGTTTTTTTTTCTATAAATATCAATAAAGTTTTATCTGTTGGGCCAAAAAGTGTAAAAATTTAATACAAGGCTCCTGATATATTGTTACAATATTAGTTGAAAAATATTAAAAATACATAGGCACGATTTTTTTTTATAAGCATTTAAAGTTGGAATTTTGACAAAATTTATCAAAATCTCGAAAATTATCAATCGTTGGAATTAAAAAATTATAAAATGTTCAGTTTTTATAACTAAGAGTTGAAAATTTAAAACAAAGATTCTCTTAAATAATTCATACTGTAACCAAAAAATCTAAAAAATATATAAACACACTTATTTTTTACAGACATTTTAATTTCAAATTTAGATAAAATTTCATATTTAAACCAAGAATTACGATTTTAGTTATTTTGTTGTGATTGAATAATATTATTCGTGGGTACTTGAAACTTCTAAAGTGTACTATTATATATCTATGATAGTATCACGGTTTTTGTTGATGTATAACGCGTTATAAGTATCTAATGGATATTGTGATATGATTAGTTTGGAATTTATTATAGGTACCTATATTATAGGTCAATTTTTTGTTTAATACTATAGATTTGTATATAATATGTCTTATACATAGACTGACATACCGTCACCGCTCAGAATCGTTTTTCTTATACAATGATATTATATCATTGAATTCAAATTTAATACCATCCATTATACAGTGACCCACTTGTAACCTACTGTACAGCAGAGCGACACCCACTTGCCCACCTTTTTAATCTTGGGCCTTAACTGTGAAAAGAAAATATTTTATTAATTGCTAACAGAAAAATAATTAAAAATATTTGAAAAATTTCTCAGTTATAAATACCTCAAAAAGAGTCAAAATTGTTTAAACATTTTACCATGTAAGGGAAATTTTAATTTTAACATTTGATAAAAATTTCAAGTATCTAGGATTATTCGTTTTTAAATTACAACAAAATATCAAAAATTGATAGATGAAATTTCGTTAATTTACTGATAAAAATTGAAAATTGAATGTTGTACACATTTTAAAAATGTATGTTACTTTCCAGTAAACTTTTAGATTCTGAGTGAAACGATGAATGTATTGATTTTACAATGATGTGTGTTTTTATATTTATTTTTATTTTTTTTGTGTCTGTGTACACGATAAGTAGTCGAAATAATGCTTCGATTTTCGACTTCAGTATCTTGTTCGATTGGAAAGTGAATATCGTTGGTGCATTGGGGAGGTCAAAATTTAAAATTCCCAGTACTTTTCAAAAGCGCCAAGAAAAACAAAATAAAAATTAAGGAAAAACGGGAATTTTTACGCAAAATCGATTTTTCAGAAAATTGAATTTGGTTTTTGGTGTAACATTAAAACAAATGACCGTAGATACATGGAATTTTCACTGGTTGTTTATATTTGCATCTTCTATACACGATAACATTTTCAAAATATTTTGATTTATTTTGAACAGTTTAGGGACATTTTCATTTTTCATTTTTTTTTAGTTTTTTTTCTAGAAATATCAATAAAATTTTATTTGTTGGTTGCGAAAAGTTGAAAATTTAATAGAAGGCTCCTAGTATATTGTTTCAAAGGCAGATGAAAAATATTAAAAATCGTTAGTCACAGTTTTTTTTTATAAGCATTTAAAGTTCAAATATTGACAAAATATGGAAAAATCACGAAAATTAGCAAATTATTTTGAGTTAAGAATTCGTAAAAATTTTTCTTTTTAAATCTAAGATTTGAAAATGTAATACAAGAGAACTCATAAGTTTTTCTACCTGTATCAATAAAAAAATCTCTACCGGACAGTTAAATTAAATTTTTATGAGCGTTTGAAATTCAAATTTTTACAACATTGGATATTCACTCGATTTCTCATGTAGCGATTTCCTTATTTTGTTGTTATTCATAAACGAATAACTATAGATACATGAAAATTTCACTGAATGTTTATATTAGCATTTCCTATACACCATACGATTTTGAAAATATTTTGACTCTTTTTGAGCTGTTTACGGACATTTTCATTTTTCAATTTTTTTAGTTTTTTTTTCTATGAATATCAATAAAGTTTTATCTGTTGGGCCAAAAAGTGTAAAAATTTAATACAAGGCTCCTGATATATTGTTACAATATCAGTTGAAAAATATTAAAAATACATAGGTACAATTTTTTTTTATAAGCATTTAAACATCGAATTTTGACAGAATTTTTCAAAATCTCGAAAATTATTAATTATCGTAATTAATAAATTATAAAATGTTCAGTTTTTATAGCTAAGGATTGAAAATTTAAAACAAGATTAAGTTCAAGTTAATTCTCTTACCGAAAAATCTAAAAAATATACAATCACAGTTTATTTTTATAGTCATTTTATGTTCAAATTTGGACGAAATTACATATTAAAAAACCTAGTTATTTTGTTGTTATTATATAATATTATTCGTGGGTACCTACTTTAAACTTCTAAAGTGGACTATTATATATCTATGATAGTATCAGGGTTTGTTATTGATGTTGATGTATAACGTGTTATAAGTACCTAATGGATATTGTGATAATGTGATATGATTAATTTGGAATTTATTATAGGTCAATTTTTTTTTTAATACCATAGATATGTATATAATTTGTCTTAAACCTAGACTGACATACCGTCTTCGCTCAGAATCGTTTTTCTTATACAATGATATTGTATCATTGAATTCAAATTTAATAGCATCCATTATACAGTGACCCACTTGTAACCTACTGTACAGCAGAGCGACATCCACTTACCCACCTTTTTTTTTGTTTAAGATAGTACATTAGTACCAATTGTGAGGAGTCTATTCTATTAACATTTATAATGTTAACTATTAAATTAAAAACTTTTATAAATTTCTAACTGAAAATTTCCAAAAAAATTTGAAGAATTCTAAATTCTAATATTTGATATTTTATAATCATTACAAACAATAGTTTGTGTTTCTGCTAAAAACGAAGAAATAAAAAAAAACCTTAAGTAAAGCTAAAAAAACTATTTTTTTCACATGATTTTTCAATTTTTGCTGTTTTTGAACTGGGGGTACTAAATTAAAGTTTGAGGGTGCTGAAGCACCCCCAAGCACCCCCTTAGTTGCGCCTATGGTTGTGCGCAGTATGCGCATCTCCTTCACCTCCGTCCAATGTTGTAGTTCACCACTTCTCATTGTTTGATTTTGTCCTATGGTATATATGATTGATAGCCTGCAATACGAAGTGGAGAACTACGATAAAGGCGAAGTAAAGAGCGGATTATGCGTATCAAAATACTGTGATGATACCTATCTAATTTGTCATGCCACAATATGTACCCATATTGCCTATCCCAAACGCCGTGATACCATGGCCTTATTATTTAATTTCACATAATATTATGTGGCATGTACAATATGTATCCCAGCCCAGTGGCGTATCTACAGGGGGGAGGTTTGATATGGAGGTCATACCTTCTCCCCGAGACCAAATTTATTACACAATACAACATATATATTATAATATGAATTTATGCGTGTATAGGTACTGAATATGTCTATTAAAATCTTTATATCCCCCTCTCGTGAAAAAATCCTAGATACGCTACTGTCCCGGCCAATACATAAAAAATATTCATATAAAACGTATAAATAATAGGTTTATTTGTTTTAAACTGAACCAATAAGTCGTGGAAGTATGCAGAATACCATGATTGTTTCTGTATAATGTGCGAATTAGGCAGAGAAAACATAACATATGTTGGGGTTGCACCTCCTTAAACTAAGGATTAATGTAATAATGTTTAATACAACAACATAAGTTAAATTAATGGCAAGTATATAGACATTAGACGTATACATACACGTACCTATTTAAACAGTGTGCCAGTGTGTTAGGCATATTATAACTATTAACTATTTTAACATTTTACAGAGTTACAATGTACCTATATATTTAAGTATTTATTATACAACAATAGGTACTCATAATATTTCATATTAATATATTATATAACATAACAAAAAAAAAAACATATCAAAATACCGGTAAGACGGTTTTAACTTTTAAATTGAATGCCTAGTTACGATACCTTACATAATATTTCATAAAGGAGATTCAATACCAACCATTTTTGTGGGATTCAGTTCAGTCAATTTTTTAATGTGCAGTAAGAGTGTGATGTGTGTTCTGTGCTAGTATAGGTGATCATTAGTGTGTGGCTTGTGTAATTGTAGTGTAAATGAGGTTTCACACGAACAAACACACCGTGTCACCAATCCGTAGTCGATGAGTAATATTATTCTTCACAAAAAGCATGTACCTAATTTTTGTTCAACGTACCGATACAAATCTAGTAATACTATAAGAAATCTGAAAATATATTTGAATTTGTTATGATTTTTTCTTCATATATAATCCCTGTTTAAAAAAAATTTTCATTTTAAAGTATAATTTAATAGGAAGATAGAGGTAAGATATAATTTCAACATTTAAAAAAGTGGATGATCGATTAAAGAAACTTCATAACAAATTTTAATATGTTTATTGATTTTTCTAACGCATTGATGTCTGTTGTCTTATCAGTGTGTGTCGTGTGATGGTCAAAAGATAGGTACTTATGTTTTCGTAAAAAAAAAATTTCAGTATTGAATCGCCTTTATAAAATGTAGGTATCTAGTATAGAATCTACACGTCAAAATCGTTGTCCATCTGTCGATTACTTAACAGTGATTCCATCGCAGCGCTGCGGTAGCCTGATGTCTTGTGGTGTCCAAGTTTGGTTCCCGAGTTGGTGTCTTCTATGGCTTTTCTCAACTATTACAAAATAAAAATGTATTTTTTAAGTTCTTTATTTGTGTAAAAATGTTTCACAATAATTCTGAGCGTTTTCAGTACTAACTTCTTTTAAGCCGACAACGCCGACCAGGCGGCCAATGGCAGTGACGTACGCGTGATTGACACCGACCAACGAGAACACCGAATGAACCTTAAGTAATGACGTCCTCTCTACCAACTGAAACGGAGCCGGGTCAATGTGACAGGAACCGAAATCTAAAATCTTGTCCATTTCCGTTTGTTCCCATTCGCTCTGCTCTTCCGGTGACATGTCGATGACCCTCTCCTTAGGCTGCGAGAAAATGAACAAATAAAATATTGTGTGAGGTACTTACATTGAATTTCGACGCCGACAATAAGGATTTCAAATATATTTCTATATGTTATGTTGTATGTACCAGTTGAACTTTTTTGGACACTTGTATGATTTGTGACGAACACCTATCCTTGTCCGTAATATCTGTCAAGCTCTGCTGTTCCGGGTTTGCATCTCGAAGTGTAGCAGATTTGTGGAATATAGCTTCGAACGCTAGTCGTATGCTATAATCAACGGTGCAATTAAAATATAATACAGAAAAATAACAATTTTTAGTAAATAAATAAAAACGTAAGTAGCAACAATAATACAATATATTATATTGTAGACATTTATTATAATGTCCAAAATGCCAGTGAATTCAATATTCATGTTTGTATATACAATTTAAAAGTCATTACTCATAATAAACCTAATCATAATAAATTACCGGCTTTCTGCTCCAGTTATCGTCGAATACGGTGTCGCAGACGGAGTCATCATAGGTGTTAGGTTATGTAAAGTGAACGAGTTTGTCTTTTTTAAAATAGATTTTTTCGGATGTCCTTTCAATGAAGAACTGCATTGCACCTAAAATCAAATTTTGTATTGGGTATCAGGGTGTCGATGGGAAAATCGATAAAATTGTTATTGCTTATTATAGGATCGTATTAATTATTAAAACGAAATTAACTTATAATATATCTGTAAACCAGATCAAGAAATAATAATATATAGACGCACTGCACAGTAACATATTATTAGAGTAAGGTTGGTGACAAATATTTTATTTGTCCACGTTATGATGGTTCATCATAACCAATATGTTTATATATGATCCCGGTACCGATATATGTTTATGATGAAAAAAGTTTGAGTATGTAGATACTATGTAAAAACTAAAAGTTATTAGTTATTATATACCTTAATCATGGGATTTGTAGAAAGTGATTGAGAACTAATTGAATGCTTCCTTTGTAGATTATCTGGTGCGGGTGTGACTTCAAATCTGGAAGGTCTCCTTTCTTTGTTGTCCCTTCTTCTTCTTTCTACCTCGTCAAGTCTCTCCTGTGCTTCTTTCTGCCATTTAGCGACTACCTGCATCCGCCTTTCTTTACCAACTTGTCTATCGATGAGTTTTATTAATTCTACCCGAGGTACTGAACCCAATAAAATCATCGAGTCTAAAATAAAACATTACAATTAATAATAATTACAACCTATATATACTTGATTATTGTATTGCGATAAAATTTATTTACAGCGACAGTCTATTTTTACCTGGTTTATCAACTAACGGAAACACTCTTAAAACCTTATTTTCCCTTAGAACTTTTTTCAGGTCTCTGTAACTCATATTATACCAAATGTACTTGACATCTCTGACCATAAAATCTTCTACATACACACTGTAAATACCTATAAACACAAGTTAAATATTATTAGATAAACAGTTTCAACCACACAAAATCAATTTAAATAAATAATTGTACCCGATATGGACGGGAGAAGATCTGGCAAGTAGGGTAGATTCTTTATTAGTATAATACTGTCGTATAGCGAAGGTTGCAATAATACTGCTACAGCGTTCGATATTAACACGGCGATCTAATCAATTGATAATGAAGTTTAATCAGTTAAATACAGGTAATAGTAATAATTAATTGGTTAACACAATTTTTAAAGATTAAATTTACCATGACTGGTACAATATGAGTGATCTGTCCGGTCATTTCGAAAGCAATTACAGACACTGATATGGAATGTGTAACGGCCCCGGCAAAAGCTGCTGCTCCGACTACGGCATAACCTCCTAAATATATTATATTTCACAGACATATTATTGACATAGGAAATTGTTTATTTATGCCGTTTTCAAATTGTTTCATTAATTTTCACCTGGTATGATAGGCGTGATGAATTTCCCGTGTCTAACGCCGCTCGGGAACCACAAGTGCATGAGTTCACCAACTATTCGACCGAACGCAGCTCCGGTTTTGAACACTGGAATGAAACTACCGGATGGTATTGGAATGGTCGATGCTATTATAGAGAACACAAACTGAAAACAAACTTGCTTGAGTAACCGGAGGAAAACTATATTACTGATCATTATGGTAAGTTAAAAGTAATTAGGTATGTTTTCATAATATTACATTATAAGCTATGTAAGCCGATAAACATATGAAAACGTTGGTGTTTTCCGTTCGCCAATGGTTCATCATTTCTGCCTCCTCGATGGTGAACTCATTCTTTGTCCATGTGAAATTACTAAACAGCCCGGTTAACTAAAAACAAAAAAAAAAAAATCAAAGTATTTATAATACACGAAATGAAGCCTGCAATGGGTGTTATATTTATATTATTAATTATTATTATTATTTGTTCTTACTTGGTCGTGTACGTTCAGTTCACCAGCAATATATTTACCGGTGCCTAATGGGAATGTGATTGTCAACGTGAGAAACGTGATGAGACTCGGATATAAAAAACGGCTATAACATAATGTTTGAACAGGCAAATGTAAATATAAAAATACATTTTTCTATTTTGCACGGGAAATATCAAATGTTACAGACGGTCGTGTGATGATACTCACTTACTTCTTCTGTAGGAAAGAGTTCATACTTTTACTCTGTCTCATAAACAAAACGTATTGCCTGTGCGCCCAAACGTAACCGGCTCCGATAATTCCACACACTACCCTACAACGTGGTATAATGGCGTTATGTATTACATTCATATTATATTATACAATGCGCGTAAGGTACACATAGGCATAGACGTAATGTAATGCACCTTAACGCCGAGAAGACGATGTATAAGGACACTCACCCAAGTAAAGCGAAAACGGTCAACTCTTGAGGATCGAATGGATATTCCATAGTGAAATGGGTCGGGAAAAAAGCCTTTACGGTTTCTAAACAGGTTTACACACACATTATTTCACACGATAACAAAAACGTATTATTATATATTACGATTTATTATGATTGGTATATATTATAAATGCTTATTGTAGACGAGGGACTGCTTATGATAATATAATATACTCACCGGCTTTGTTGAACCATACGGCCAGCAGTCGAAACACGGTTGCACTACAGACTGCGGAAAAGAAACCTCTCCAGTAGTTCCTCACAGCGAAGTACACTGTCGTTACTTCGATGCTGAAGAGCACACCTCCTATTGGAGCCCCGAAACAGCTGGCCACTCCGACCGCGCACGCCGCAGCCAGCATTTCAGTGTTCCGCGATTCGTTCTCGTAGATTCCTTTGAACGAGGTAATTACTTTCGTCAAAAGCGTGGCCGTTATGCTGGCAATGTGCACGAACGGGCCCTGCAATTATTTGTCGCATAAATTCCCATAGTCAAAATAATGTGAAAAAAAACCCTGGCCCGGTAAGAAAATAATGCTAAGCTCGTAAAAAGCCCGGTTTGGTCCATCAATTTTATCCTCAAGCCCGGCCGGCCTGGTCCAAAAAATATTGTGAAAAAAAATATAATATTATTATTACGGTATATACTCGTAAATAGCTTTATTATACCCACCAATCAATATATTATTATATTCATTGTGATTGTATCTACTATCTAGTATCTATCCATAGAGTATACTCTATATGTATCTATCTGTACCAACGTCGGTTTTATCATGATTATTTATTATTTTAAATTGTGATTATTTACTGTCGAAGAAAAATCCTTAAAAAGCCGGTCCAACCCTTGATTTATTATTCGAAGTCCAGCCCGGCCCGGAATAAAATTCCAAGACTTAAAAAAGTCCGGTCCAACCCTTTATTTGATTTCAAAGGCCCGGCCCGGCCCTTGCAGGTCTTTAGTAGGTACCCTGCGGAGATTAAATATTTTGTTAAAACAAAATTTCTTTTTTAAATATAATATGTGGCATTCAAACATTATTTTAGATTCTGAGTGGAACGATTATAGTATTGATTTAACAATGATGTGTGTTTGACAAAATTTTTCTTTTTAAATCTAAGATTTTAAAATTGAATACAAGATTCCTTATAAGATTATCTACCTTTATCAAAATAAAAAATGTCTATAAGTAAGTCAAATTAAATTTTTATGAGAGTTTGACATTCAAATTTTTACAATATTGGGTATTCACTCGATTTCTCATATAGCGATATCTTTATTTTGTTGTAATTCAAAAACGAACAACTGTAGATACATGAAAATTTCACTGAATGTTTATATTAGCATTTTCTATACACCATACAATTTTGAAAATATTTTGACTCTTTTTAAGCGGTTTACTGACATTTACAGTTTTCAATTTTTTTAGTTTTTTTTTCTATAAATATCAATTAAGTTCTATCTGTTGGGCTAAAAGGTGTAAAAATTTAATACAAGGCTCCTGATATATTGTTACAATATCAGTTGAAAAATATTGAAAATACATAGGCACAATTTTTTTTTATAAGTATTTTAAGATCGAATTTTGACAAAATTTATCAAATTTAAAATTGAATAATTATTTTGTAGTTAAAAATTTATAAAATGTTCAACTTTTATATCTAAAGATTGAAAATTTAAAACAAGATTCCATGTAAGTAGTTATTTCTGTTACCAAAAAATCTAAAAAATACACAAGCACAGTTGATTTTTATAGTCATTTTAAGTTCAAATTTGGACGAAATTACATATTAAAATCAATATTAATGATTTTGGTTTTTTGTTGCAATTTAAAAATATTATTCGGGGATATATGAAACTAAAAAATCAAAAAATCAAAATATTTTGGCCTATCCATACAATCTACCATAGTATAAGGAATAAGAAGTATGCTCAATGATAAGACTGTGCATATTTTTTTTTATTACCATTGATATAATAATATGTCTATTAAACCTAGACTGACATACCGTCTCCGCTCAGAATCGTTTTTCTTATACAATGATATTATATCATTGAATTCAAATTTAAACAGTAACCTACTATACAGCAGAGCACCTTTTTTAAATTATATTACTTATAATATACAGCATTAAAAAAAAGGTCATATGGCCATCCACCATAACATTCCTTCAATCATACTTAATGTAATAATATGTATATGGTTGTTGAATAAGGCCGAATTTAAATATATATCCAATAGCCTATAGGTACGTATATTGTAATTTTATTTTTGATGATACATTTTATGCATTACTCGAGGTTTGGCTAGTTTGTATTTATTGAAAATTCACATACAAGATAAATTCATGAGGTAATATACTAATATCACACATTGACAAATTTATACTCTCTAAATTCTAATTTTTTAATAATTAAGGGCGCACATACCTCTTTGCCGAGAGGTAGACCCGAACCTAAGGTTGCTGTAACTCCGACAACTTTCGCGATCAACGTTCTCAAGGTGAGAAATTCTTTTAACGCGACGCCTCTTAATATTGTTTTCATCTCTGGTATTCCAGAACCTATATATACAACAAAATATCGACCATTTTAGATTTTTATAAGAGGATAACTTACATATTTGTAATTTCGTACCAATTGATTGAGGCGCAACTAAGTGTACGAATCCTGCTGCGAATGTTATCAAACTGACTGGTAACAGTACCCAAGCAATGTACTGCACATACTGATTGAATGCCATATCTTTGAATAGCCATATTCTTCCTGTCCACAAAATGTTTAATTAATTAATATATTTATATATACTGTTTTAACAATAGGTTTATAATGGTTTGAAACAAAATTACAATGAATCCTATATTTCGATCTACAGTTAAAATTTACTCTGTTAATTAGAAAAATAAATTCATCAATGAAAAAGTTAAATATTATTATCATTATTGTGACTGAATATTATTATTATTAATAATATTATTACTTTGTTACACTTATGTAGTAATAATTTACTAAATTAGGGGACGGAATGGCCGAGCGGTCTAAGGCGTCGGTTGCGACGCAGCCGGCGCCGGCTCGATTCCTTGGTCACGGGCGACATTTTTCTTCGGGCAAGTCACGGTGTCCTGAGAGCAAGTGCCGCCATCCCCCACCCGGGGCATGGCAGACCCCTACGGGTGCCCCATTAGAAATTCTGCCAAAACACAACACACACGTGTAGCAACCTACTCAATCTACAAATCTACAGTTCCCTCCCCACACCCGATGGCCTTTGTTGCCGCGGGTTATCCAATAAAAAAAAAATTTTACCAAATTAATTTAGACTTATCTTCAATGTCCTTCAGTCCATTACTTATGCAATTGTATTTAAATTATGTTTTTAAGCATGTTTTTTTATGTGCAGATATTTATAGTCTACTTCGCTCATTAAGTACATATTTTGGGAAATATTAGGTATATTATCTTATATGTTCGTAATTGTTGTTATTTTATTTTGTTGATATTTTACAACAATTTTACGTTAGTCCATCACGCATTCACATTATATAATAATATTTACCTATCAATTTCTTATCAATTATAATTATTAAATTTTACTTCATCGAAAATTTTACTTATTATATCCTAATTTGACCAATTAAAACTAATTGCAGATTGTAACAATTATAAATAAAGAAAAACAACATACTAAATAAAGATATGAGCAGTACCTATACAGCCAAGTATTTTTATGGTAGGTATATAAATACAAAACTTTTTTTTTTATTTTAAATTTTTTAAATTTTCTTTTAAATTTTGAGATCTATATGATCTAATTATTTAAGTTTAAAATAATGTGAGCCAGGGTTTCCTAAAGTTGTATGGTTATCGGCAAATGATAATATTATTAAGTACAGGAATTTAATAATAGTACTTCTAGAGCAGTGAATTTTGTAAATGTTTATGACTTAATAATACGTCTGGAGTTGTGAAAGGGTTAAACTGATAACAATTTGTACTTGATAAATTATAGATGTTACAGCTAATTCTAACCATAATATTATTATTATTATTACTTTAGAATTATAGCCAAGCCATATTATATTTTCCATCTTCTAACTTATCTAATGTACAGTATAATATATACATATAAATATAATGATCATAACCGTAAATACTAAATAATGTAATGCTAATATATTGTTTTTCTTTCTGTGAATTTGTTTTGTAATGCGTTAATTTAAAGTCAGACTAATAATTTATTACATTATAATTTATTATATAATTTGGACGGGAATAAAAAATTAACCTTTGTCTTGAACCTTTTTCTATTATTATTATTATTATTATTTATGTGATACTTATGGGCTTTTGTTCTGTGTTAGGTATGCATATAACAATCAATACCATTAATCAGTATGCAATGTTGATATCCACCTTGGAAGTATGTAATGTTTTTTATCGGTATTTTTTATCAACGACTATTGAGCCATGGACAAAGACAATTAAAAAAAATATTCATCTTTGGACATTTGAGTAAATTTACTATTGGAATCATTGTTTAAAAAATTCACAGATGGTAATCAGTAGATTATCGCTAACCACAGTCTCACAAATAACTATTCGAAACTATAAAATTACAAAATAAAAAATATAATATTTATGAAAGCTATGAAAGTAAAGTTGTAGTATTGTTAACCAATGTTTTGCTAACTCAATTCTTTCGACGAAGTAATAGGAACAAAGAAACAGGCAAATTAATTTATTTTACGGTCCTGTAAATCACCAATATAAAAAATATATATAAGTACTCTCTTTTAGAATTTTTAACAAGATATTAAGCCTGTGGCCACAGTTCACTTGAAGAAAAATGTTATAGGTATCAGTGTATAAAATTTAAATATTAACCAACATAATTTAGAATACTATATGTACCTACACTATTTATACATATTCGCATATTCGCTGATATAAGATTACATGATTACATGTAGACATGCAGTACGTACCTACATAAAACATAAAACCGCAATTTATCATAAAAATGATTAATGACGATTGAGGTCTGAGAAGGACTAGGAACTAGAGAGGGTCGGACCGTTGGAATTATATTTTATATTTAGGACACTATTCGGTCTAGTAGGCATAGCTACTCTTGTATAATATGCCAATCTTTTACAAATGCAGTACGAATAACATACTATATTATATACATTATACAATTTTATATATCGTCCTATGACTGAGTATGACGTATAACACCTACCCACTGGCTATACTAATTAAACATTTTGTATAATACCTATATAGTTATAGTAGTACCTACTGACCTTCGTTGGTGAAGTCTATACCGTAATCCATGGCAAAACTTAGTACAGCCATGACGAGACCCAATAACGTGAGAAACACCCAATCTTCGCTGAGCTTGGCGAACGAATGGCGCCATACGACTTCTAAAGTGGAACTGATTTTCCCGCCGTACTTGCTGAATTCTTCGTTAGCACCGCCGTGTATGACAGGCGCTGATATGTTCTGTTGCGTTCCTTTGACATAGTCACCCAATTCTTTCGTGTAACGTCCATACATCTGTTCCATAATAATAAAAAAAAAACAAAACACTATTTTTGAACGATTAAACGTACCAAATTAACGAGGACATTGAATTAAAAGCTAGTTCAAATCATAACCATCTATTGCTGCAAGTTATTTGTGTAGTGTAAGGTATCGAAGTTCATTGGGCCAGGTGACTATACAAATGAGTTGCCGGACAGGGGGAACAATTATTATATGAAAACTCGGGACTTAAATTCGTGTCGTAAGATGTGAACAGAAAACTGTTTTTATCAATTCTAGTATCAAGTAGTTGAATAGTAAAAACATATACATATGTATGGAGTATGGACTGTGCACTTCTTATCGTTATTTTATTGCAATATGTAATAGATAATAACTTTATGTTACCTATTATAAAAGTGTTGTTTTATACTATGCATATTCAATTGCAATGTATTAAAAGCCGATAAGAAGTTAAAATAAAATAATATTTGTTAAAATATATAAGTATGTAACAATTAGCATTTCAAAAAATAATGAAAATATTATTCAATTTCCGTTTGATTATAATCAACGTTTTGTTTAGATGTTTTGTTTAGATGTTTTTTTTTTATTATTATTTATTTTAACTAACTATAATAAGTAATAACTATTTATCGCTAATAGAAATACCACTTACTGAATTTTCGTTATTAATTGACCATTTAAATGTATGGTTCATTGTTTGTATGTTTTTTTTTTATTTCAGTAAAATATTAAAAATTTAAATCACTCGTAATAAAATAAATATCTATAATCGGCACGATGTATTTCTATAATAAAATATGTATGATTAGTAGTTATTAAATAAGTATCAAATAATTGAATGTTTTCATATGACCACATGTATGTAAATGTATTGTATAAGAAGTATCTACCTACATAAACATATCAACTATCCATACTTAGCGGGGGTATACATAGTGTATCAATGTATCACAAACATATAGCTAACATATGGCTTTTATAAATATAATATATTTCCAACATTGTCAACGATTTGTGTTGTACTCTGTATAATTATTATATAAGTAAAATTAATCAATATTAGTTAATGATAATGTTTATCTGAAACTTGAAAAAAACGTAATGAATACAAGTAATTAAACAATTAGTACAGAAATAAAATAATTACAGAATTTAAAAAAATACTACATTAGGTATGTAAAGTCAATGTTCATTGGAAGTTGGAACATTGTGAGTTGAGATATGAACATTTTTGTATTCATTTTTTGAAATGCTACATCAAGTTATTTATTTAGCTTGGTTTTAAATAATATATATTTTTAAATGGTAACTTATGTGTATTTTAATAAAATATATTATTACATTACGATTTGTTACAAGTATTTTAATTATCAAACTTTTTTAAATTATAATGATAATATTAAATTGATATTATCATTATTAATTAATAGTTTTTCAACTAAAAACTTTGAATTTCAATAATCGGACATACAGTCTGTAGTATCTATATTATCATATTGTTATACATCTATTTTTAGAAGTTTACTATATAAATAATAAATTAACTTTTGGTTTATCTACTCTCATAGTATGAGTGGTATGACGCGATGTTAGATGGCTAATTTGAGCTATATTGAGGTACTTATACATTTATACAAAACTAATGTTTAACAATAATATTATAATAAATTGTATATGATATATTAATTATTGTGTTAAGTTGGATTAACGTTTTTTTTTGGGACATTTTTATCGTTTTAAATTCGTTTGCATCAACAAACTCACACTATTTTGAATCTTTTTAAACTATTTTTTCCCAACTTTTTCAAAAAGTTTGCAAGAAGCATTTTGTTTTAAATATAAAAATATATATAATTTTTTAATGATATTCGTACCACCTAAAATTAAAAAATTAACTTATGTTTAAGAAAAAAATATTGAATTCTCGTGGAAATATAGTGATTACTGATTAGTATACTTAGGTATCTGACTGTTGTTTCTTTTATATATTTTTATTTTAAAAAATATAAATAGATAATAAATAAAACATTTAACATTTTAAAAATAGGTAGGTACCTACCTATAATATACATTTTTCAGTAATTATAAAATTGATTATAAAGTGTGTGGTTTTTGGATTCAACGTTAAATTCAAACAGTACTAACTATATTCAGTATTCCAATTTCCAGTATTCTTATATATATATATTACCGGCAGAGTTTAGGCGATTCATTCGAAGTTAAACTATACTGTTTTTTTATATAAATTACTTAACAACATTTTTAAATTGGGTTTTCATATGTTACCTACGTACCTATTAAACTTGTTAGGTACAGCATGACCAATTTAAATACAATTTATTTAGATACTTCACCATGATTACATAATATTATGATAATTTATTTATTGAACAGTATTTATCAGGCATTAAATTAATAAATGATAGTCATTATCTATTAATATTTATATTTTAAAAGTTAAAAAACTATAAAAAATATACGCCACTAATACTTATATTTTATTCTGAAGAACTTATACTGATGTAATATGAAATATGAAAATAATTATTTTGATTGTAAAATTTTGAATAAATTATAATCAATTCAAATCAATGTTTATTTTATTAATTCGATTAATAATCCTTAATTATACTCTTATTAAATTAATAAATTAATATTTTTATTTGCCTGAGTATATCGTATACAAAACTTTTACAAATAAATAAAAACAATTATTTAGTAATACCTATAAGTAATTAATTTTAAGTTTCGTGCGAGCAATACTATTTTAGATCTAGGCATCTAGCTGCTATAACATAACATGTAATATAATAAATCAGACATCAGTATTCAGATATAAACACTGTTATCTAATTTCTAGTGTCTACTACTAAATTAACTATAGTAACTCTGAATAATAAATCAATTCGTAAAACTAGGTAAACCGTTTAGAGTTTAGAGCGAAGAGTACAAACAATAAAAAGTCGACCAAACCTCATTCAAATATTCTACATTTTCATTTTCATTTTGTATTCAATAAGTTGTCATAAATTTTATGAATTGATTAACTTACCATATAGGTAAGCATTTTCATAACCTACTACCTACGATCATGAAATCTACAGTTTACGATATGGTAAAAATCATAACACGTAGAAATTATTTCAATACGCTAAACCAAATTAAAATGTAAAATAATAATAAATATATTGGGAAGTACCTACATATGAATGATAAATTTATTGATTCAGTTACTATGGGGAAACCAATCCCACCCTACAGTTTGAATTAAAAAAATAAGTTTAATATAGATTAAATAATGTTATACTGTGAAATATTTTATTTAAACTTCATATATTTTATTGACACTTGACGTACCAATGTAAATTAATTTTAAATTGTCTGAATTAAAATAATACGCTTATCTATAATTCAACAAATAACAATAAGTGTTTTATAATGCAATCAATAAAAGCAAGTAATACCTAATACTAAAATAAAAAATCCAAATAACTAGTTTCTGTTGTATATTTCAGATTTTTATGAGTGTAACTACCTATAACCTATTAATTGAGTAGGTCACTGTAATGGATGTAGTTAATTTGAATTCCATCATAATTCATTGTATACAATAAAAACGATTCTGAGGGAAGGAGAAGTTGGAGTGGATCAGCATCTATTTCGAAGGATAGTTTGTCTGTTTCTCTTATATTATATTTAAATTAAGTTAAATTTTAAATTTCCTTTATACAGTAGGCTAAACTATTTTTTATCAAAAACATTGCATAATATGAGATGTATAAGTTAATATATATAATTTTAAAATGTCGATAAAGCTTTAAAAGGTTCAACACATTTTGAAAATTACATTAAATACTTTATAAAATATTTTATATTGCTAAATTTCAACGAAATTATCTGCGACAAAAAATAAAACTCAATTTTATCGGAAATTGGTGTTGCGTAAATTTATGGTCATGATTTACTACTGTTTTCTTAGGGTTTCCAAATTATTAAGAAAGAAACTACGATTTTCCAATTTTCAGACTTCCCAAAAGTACCAACTAGATTCATTTTTCTACCACAACTCACAAGGTATATTGAAGTTGAAAATTAAAGTATTTCTTTCTACTACAAATAGCTTACATATTATTGCAAAATCTATATACATTAAATTTACCCATTTAAGTAGACAGACTTATATTCGAATATTGTGAGCCAAGACTAAATTCATCTGCGAGCTACTGCTAACCATGCAACTAAAAATCGAATTTCAAACTAGTAGAATTAGTTATACGTACCTAGGTATTTAAAGTTTAGATGAACAGAGTAATGGATCACTAATTAACCGTTTGTTAGGTACCTACCCCTAGGGGCTAGGACCTCAGCCACTCCATTCTAATGATCTTAAATGTAATAACTTACTATTTATTAATTACTCGTTCAAAAATTGATTTTTATATATAAAATTTTGGTTTTGGAATCACTTTAAAATACGTAAAAAAATTTCAAAAACGTACTTGTTATTTTTGAGATAATGTATGTTTATTGTCATTCTGTATACTTATATACTTTTTATATAGTACCAGCCCTCCGATCTAGCCAGGGGAGACCCCTGGACCCCCAGGGTTAGCTAGTATTTTTGTATGGCTTAAAATCATGCACATTTTATACTAATCAATTTATTTACCTCTCTAATAACATAATATAGGGAAAAAGCTTTCCCAAAAATATTTCAAGGGCTATATTCACCAGCATAGCATATTTAATAAATATTGTAAATTTTTATATACACATAGGTATAAATAAGCAAATTTATCAGTTGAATTTTTTTTTATTAATTTAAAACTATTTCTACTCGTTATATTAGTTTAATTAATTCAATATATAGGTACTAAAATTGTAAGTATTTTTCGTATTCAATTAATGAACTGGGGTTTTTTTTATACTATAAATCATTAGCTAGTAGCTTTCTATATTGAAGATGTTTTATAGGAATGTTCTGGTCAGTGAAGGATACGAAAAGTCTATGCATTAAGTACCTATAATTATAGGTTTTATCTGACTCTGATTTCTTAGATTGTCATAATGCATAAAACACGGAGTCGGTCTAAGTATAAATAAACTGGGTCAAGGTGGAAAGAATATCATAATATTATTATAAATATCATATATTTATTGAAATGTTTATTTTGAATTGGCTAATAACTACAATAATAATAATGGATAAACTGCATTTTTTCAAGTAGTGGTGGTCATGTCTGAAAAATTACTGTGTATCGATTATCGAATAATTATTAAAATATTGCACCCATCCCTAATGTCAGTAGGCAGCTGTTGTTTTGACGTGTTGTAAAATTATAATATATTTAAAGGGTACAAGTATTGTGTATACAATAAATTGCACAAGTTGAAATTAAAAACTAAATCTAAATTTTTACTTGCTCATTCAACATACATTTTGACAATTTTACATTTTTGTCCTACCCAGCATAGAGTATTATCTGTACCAGCCAAATTTCAAGGAGTATCACAGAAGATATAACTTGACCCTATGGGATAGCCGCCACTGCTGGTGTCAAGTAATCAAGTAGGTATACGTTTTGTCCATTCCGATAAAATTATATATAAAAATTACTTATAAAGTTATAAATAATTTCTGATGAATCATTTAATAATTTTTGTATTTTAATATGGATCAAATGATTAATACCTTATTTGTTTTGCCTACTCATGTCTCAGTTTCATAGAAAACAATCTTAATATACATATTAAGTACCTAAAAAATACAAATATTATAATAGTGTCTACAGTAAGTCGAGTATCTTAAATAAAAAACAAGTTTAACAAGTGTTAGCATATTCACAAAATAAATTCAATAAGTTATTAGTATTATTTTGTATCATAATTACTATACTTTATATTTTTATAATTAAATTAACTGAAATAGGTACCCTTCTTAAGATAGTAAGATCTGAGTCTATATAAAAAAAAATAGTAATTTTACATGTATTTATAAATTCTCACAGTTATTACAAATTTGATTTATCTGTTTGTTATAATTTTCTCAACGTTTTGAAATCATTTTCATTAAAAGTTGTAACTTGAAAGTTTATTCATTATTAACTTACTGTACTTTGAACAAAGTCCACGGGTGGTGGACTTGGATAAAATGAAGCTAATGCTTTTGTTTCTCGTTCCAAATCGTCGTCTTCGCCTAAAGCAGATTTTCGTCTCCTCATAGAGGGTGATGAAATTTTCGCAGTTTTCCCTACAGTCATGTTTGAGGTCTATTTTTATAATTATTTAGTTTTTATTTTTACTTTTAGTTCATAAGAATTTTTTTTTAATTTTTGATAACACTGTGTCCACATATAGTTACGGACGACTGTGCGTGCGACTATTTGGCATGAATAAACTGTGCACAAAAAAGGGAGTATAAATTGAATAATAACCTTAAATTGGACTACACTGAGGCAATGATGAAACCTACGCCCGTTACTTTACAGGATAAGCTGTACGAAGGATATATAAAGTCTGGCATTAAAAGATATTAAACGGCACAATCGTCTAGATAAATAGTTGGTTACTCTCAGCTTACACGGGATACTATAACTAATAAAATATATACAATGTACCTACTCTATTACCACTCCGTTTCTTTAAACATCGTCACCATGTTTTATCTGTTCAGATAATAACGATTATAGGCAATAAAAAATTGATTCTGAGCCGGTATTTTATAGCGATCTTCGTTAAATCTTTAGTCAACATAATATGAATTAAACAACAGAACAATAAACTAATTAGCACACGTCATGTTACTTATTTGATATATATAATATATATAGGTTCCATTTTAGTATACCTTAATACTGTGGTTATTGTTGATTAGTAAGTAAGTACCTACTATAGTATTATCATTTAATATTTTAAAATATATACTATTGACTAATGCTATGTTCACAACGTAATATATTTTAACTATATTTTTATTTTTGAATTATAATAATAAGGTCCATTTATATTTTGCTTTTTATATCTAGATTGTATTGTATTCACACAAAAAAAAATAGTTCATAATCTAAAGTATGAACTAAGTTAAATTTTCAAGAACACGATATCCCTTTGAATTATAATCTTAAAACCAAAGCAGTAAATAGCGATAATCAACTATTAAATACTTAGAATTATAAATAATAACTGTGCATAGAATGCTTATGAACAATTTTAATAAACCTACTCTAATGAAAAAAATTGGGTGATGCTCTGATGTACAGTATGTTATAAGTGGGTCACTGTAATGGATGTTATTTAATTTGAATTCAATGATATAATATTATCATTGTATACGAAAAACGATTCTGAGCGGAGACTGTTTGTCAACCTAGGATATTAAATATTTTTATATTATATTTATATTGTTTTAATACGGTAGCCGATAAGTTAAATTAATATTATTTGTATATTATCATATTTGTATATAATAATATACTTTAGAAGTTTCAAGTACCCATTAATAATATTTTTAAAATACAAGGTATTTAAAATATTTAAAATACAAACTTGAATTTCATAAAACCCTAAAAAAAACTGTTTATGTAATATTTTTTAGATTTTTTGGTTACAGTATGAACTACTTACGTGGAACCTTGTTTTTTGTTTGTAATCCTTAGATATAAAAATTCTTTATTTTATTAAGCATTTTATAAATGTTTACCTCCAAAATAATTTGTGAATTTTCAATTTGATAAACTTGTCAAAATCTAAGCTTTAAATGCTTGTAAAAAATCTTTCTTATTTATTTTTAATATTTTTAAACTGACATTTTAACAATATAATGTGAGGAGTCTTGTATTACATTTTCAGGTTATTTGACTCAACAAATAACATTTTACTGACGTTTATAGAAAAAAAGACAAAAAAATGAAAATTGAAAATGTTCGTAAACAGCTCAAAGCGAGTCAAAATATTTTGAAAATTTTATCAAGTATAGAAAATGATAAAATTAACATATTATGATGTAAGTTTTATGTATTTAAGGTTATTCATTTTTGAATTCAAACTAAATAAGAAAACCGCTCAATGAGAAATCGAGTAAATATCTAATGTTGTAAGAATTTAAAAACTACAAATAACTAACTTCAAATTTCATAAAATTTTAATTTGACTTTCTGGTAAAAATTTTTTTTGGTAAAAGTAGACAAAGTTATATATAACTATAAGTAATCTTGAATTAAATTTTCAAGTTTTTTGACCTAGCGAAAACTTTTTTATCGGCATTATTTAATAAAAAACCAATATTAATTGAAAATTTTATATGCCTATAATAATAGCTCAACATATCTTCAATATTTTGAAAATTGTACGGTATTTAGAAAATTCTAATATAAACATTCAGAGAAAATTTCATGTATATCTACGGAAATTAATTTTAGAGTTACACCAAAAACCATAATAGATTTTGTCAAAAGCTTATTTTTCGTAAAAATTCCTGTTTCTTCTTATTTTTTTTTGTTTTTCCCGTTGTTTTTGTTAATTTCTGTGCATTTTAGAGAGTTTCAAGGGAATTTTGACCTCCCGAAGGCACCAACTAGATTCACTTTCACATTGGGAAAAATATTGATGTTGAAAATCGAATCATTACTTTTACTACTTATCGTATAAAACACAAACACAAAAACTGAAAAAAATTATCGTTGTAAAATCAATACATTGCTCCACCCAGAATCTAAAAGGTCCGAGAGTAGTTAGTTGTTAAAAATTTGAATAGAAGTGTATCATAGTGACGTTATAGAATCTAGTTATAGGTTAGGTAATTATCAAGTTTAAGCAAATTTCAGATATAATTTAATTTTAAGTTCACGTGGATATGATTACATCATACCTAGTGGCTAGTACCTACTGTATAGTGTGTACAAAATTTTTAAATAGTAATAACTTGTTATTTGGAACTATTTCATTGTACATAAACATTTTTATGACATACCTATAGTATTAAAATTATTAATTGATAGTGTTTTAAGTACATCATATAAATATGTGCTGATTATTAATTTATTATTACAATATAACTTAAACGTATGACAATAATAAAATTTGTAATTTTAATTAGTTCTGCTGGGTTGTTAACTTTTATAGTAATTTGTATTAAAAATTATTATGTAATTTAAAATAGACATAAATAAAAGTAAAATATTTAAAGAAAATAATGGATATTCTATAAAAGGTTAATGCTTGCAATTCTATTATATTTATGTAAACGGATTTAATTACACGACAATTAATGAATTTTTTTTTTTTTTTTTTTATTGGATAACCCGCGGCAACATAGGCCATTGGGTGTTGGTAGGGAACTGTAGGTTTTTAGATTGGGTAGGTTGATACACGTGTGTGTTTGTGGTGGCAGAATTTTTATTGGGGCACCCGTAGGTTTCTGCCATGCCCCGGGTTGGGGGATGGCGGCACTTGTACTCCGGACACCGTGACTTGCCCGGAGAAAAATGCCGCCCAGTGGTCGAGAGGTGAACCCGCGACTGCCAGCGCCGCAGTCGACGCGTTAGACCGCTCGGCCACCTCGTCCCCCATTAATGAATTATTTGCATGTAAAAAATGTATTTTAAAAATGAAATATTATTATTATATTATATCTATAAACTATAACGTATAGTTAACAAAAGATAAACCAACTAGTAACTATTAATATATACATATTATTGAATAATAATTAAACCAATATAAGTTAATTTAGATTTGAAAATAATAACATTTATTGAAAAGTAATTATTAATTGTGTGGAGTTAGTTTTTAAATTATTAATTCTATACACGAAAAGTGTACCTATGTAAATTGAGTATAATTGAAAAATCATTCTCAAAACATTTATTACAATTTAAATTTACATAATAATATATTATTATGGACAAAAACAAATGCCGTAAACAACTGAGCGGTAGACTAGGTATATTATTATAATTTTAACAAAATAAATGACCGGACACATTATACCACATGAACGTTAATGTGTATGCGTTCATGTAAAGTGAGGCGCATTAATTATAAAATGATGTATTTTATTTTTTAAAGTTGTTGAATTTTGTGATTCTATTTCTATTCTATTTGTGATTCTATTTGTTTGTGATTTTTACAAAATGTTTATCCCCCTTTAATATAATAGGTAATTTGGTTTTAAATTAATTCACCAAAGTTTGTACTATTGTTTATAATAGTAATGAATAATAGTTTCAATAATCAGATAATAACAGTTTAAACTTTAAAGTTTAGTTCAGTGGTGTGGTATAATAATTGTAGGGAGATACAATTTTTCAATTTGCACAATAAAGTTTAAAACTTTAATCGTTTACTTAACAATAATATTTGTATAAATCCAGGTATTGATACATCAAAGTTCTATTTGTAATTAAAGTAATTTAAAAATGAACAGCTAATTTCATGAAAGCCTAATAATTAATGACGAACACACAATATTGGTAATAATATTGATTTTCTACATTTACGTATATAAATAAATATGTTGTGTATTAAGAATACAATAAATTAAATTTTTTTCAATATTAAGTTTATAGAATAAATCAATAATACACTCAATTAATTACCTATTTATAAATTGTATTGTTAAAAAAATGTGTTACTAATATTAATTATCACTTACGTATTAAAGCAGCATAATGTTATGTGCACCAAGACTAAATCACATAGTATTATCACGTAGTATTATAAATGTCAATTATTTTGTGTTGTATGATAATCTAATAAATATTTATTATTTTATAACACTTACTTTGTTAGTTTCAATAATTTTGATACAAAATATAAAATGTTATCTATTTGAAACAGCGTAGTTATAAATTATCATTTTATATAACTTTTATTTTTATTTACAAATCTGAAATACTGGAGTCTAAATATTAAAAAAAAACTCTTATTAGTTGAACCAATAGTGGAGGGGCTTATATATTTGAATACACTCATGTTTTCCTCCATATTTTAATGATTACTGTAATAACTTTACAAACAGAAAATCGTGCTAATAAGTTTATAATTATAAAAAAATAAGCAACATTATTCTCACGACTGTTTTTTGGTCTATTGCTTTATATAAATTCAGATCACACAAACACTATAAAAAATCAAGGTCGACTATCTTTTTTAATTATATATATATGACTAATAACATGTTTATATAGGTACGTTAAGACTTGTAACTATAAATCATTTATCATGGGATTGTATCAGAAAAATCTATAGATATTTCTCAGTT